TATTATTTCCATAGTTGGTTAAGGCAAGTTTCTGAGGAATGTGAAGCAAGAGGCACGCCAGTTCCTGTGGCTGGCCTTGACTGGAGTTCAGGCATTTTGGGACAGAGGCTGTGCCTGGAGGCTGTGGTTACTCTGTTATCCTTGGCAGTTTAGGGATTTCTGCCTCTGCTCCTGTCCCTCCCATCCTTCTGTCTTATTGCTCCTCACCTGTTCCTCTGCCTATGCTGCAGCTGCTTCAGTCTCTCTCAGTTATCTGTGGGGTTGTGCTGAATAGCTTGGAAGTCTGAGTAAGGAGAAAAAGAGAGAGCAGCTGCTCCCTTGTCTGAAGAGAAGCCTCACAGCCCTGTGCTGACTCTCCCCTGCATCCTGCTCTGAGATCCCTTGCCCCAACAACTGGGAATTAAAGCAGTTGAAGCTCTCTAGCTATGTCCTAATTACTGCTGCTGCCTTGCTCTTTCTTCTGAAATTACACTTTTAACTTTCTCCAGGATTAGTTTACTCTCTGAATGGCATCAGGTAGTAAGGTACTGTCTTTGGGGACTGCATGGCTAAAAGACCACTAAACCTTTTTTCTTTTTAATGGAAAACCCAGTTACCTACCCCAGCAGGGTTTCACTGCTTTTACCTGTGTAGTACAGTTAGAACTGAAGGTGTGTATATAAGAAAAGGTATTGGCTATGAAAGGAGCAGTTTCCTACCTGTGATAACAGGAATGACCTTTGCATCTGATGACCTCCAGACCCTGAAAAGGCCACTGAGAAGCATGAGCAATGCTAATCCCTTTGAGAAGGGAGCTGCAGTATTTGTCTCCATTACCTACTCTGCATAAAGTTCTAACAACTGTTTAGTTTTCTTCTCTGTTTGTATACACACACATCTGCTTTGTGGGGAGAAAAGAGTGTATGTTGGTGTTGTCTGACAATTGTGACATGACAGGAAGGCGTAGGCTTCCTTTGGAGCACATATATTGTTGATGGCATACATGTACAATTCAGTAAAATGTCAGCAGCTTTGAGAGATGTTCCATGCTTTTAACTTTGAATCTTCATCTGGTTAATCGACTTATGTATAGAAACCATATGAAATAATGATGCAGCAGAGGGGTGGGTTTCTTTAAAGTTTATGCTTTTGCCAAGGTAAACATATCTTAATTATGGCTTCTTCACAATAATGAAGTGTTATCAAAATTCAAATCTAATTAAATACTTTTGTGTCCTTTCTACTGTTTTCTCTTATTCTTGATTCCAACACTTTCCCATTTTCTTTGTGTGGTGCACTCTAACAATTTTTCTGTGGGATCTGTTATAAAAAGGGACTGTTTACTGTCTTGGTTCAAAATCCATGGTGCTAGCTGTGTTTGAATAGGGGTGTGGAGACCCAGTGTATGGGGAGGTAATTAAATTTTGGGATGATAGAACAGATTTTGGTAGTACTGAAGAAGTGGATAGTATAAATAGCCACAAATCTTCAAGGCAGCTCTCTGTCCTGTGTGCAGGTAACACCTGCATGTTTAGTTCCTTACTTCAGAGGTACGTAAAAACGTGTTACTGACTAGTAAGTGCTGAGCTGTTAGTTGGCAAATAGCCCAGGAAAGGCATTATTAAAAAGTAAATTTAACAAAGATGTCTATAATCGTGCTTTAGTAGAAGGCTTCATTTAAAGTAATTTGTGTGCTAGTGGTGACCAGTATGATAGTGTTCTCATGAAGCACCAGGTACATGTATGCATATGTCTGGGTATCTCAAGAGGGGGGAAAAGGAAGTAACAAACTGTTTATTATGTTAGTATTCCCTTGTGATCCTCTGTGAGGACTGTCACTGCTGCTGAGCTGAGAGTGAAATCTGCTTAGTAAAAAGATTATTTTTTTCAGTGGCAATAACCGTGAACATCAAGACCCTGAAAGGTATTGGAGTTGCTCTTCATCCTTGCAGGCACACAAGTCTGCAATTGCAGCTGTCCTTGGGCCTCATCCAACACAGTTCACAAAGATCAGTCAAAAATGTCTCTGAGGCTGGAGATGCAAGTGGCAGGGGAGCAGTTTCGTCTAAACGGAGAGATCAAAGGAGTTCAGAATAGAAAGTTTTTCCAAATTCCTGGAAGGAGATAAGCGGGAAGCACAAGGAGTAGTTTCAGAGTCTGTTTTGTTACACTTAACTCAGCCATAACTTCATTAGTGTTCTTCATTTGGATCCAATTACACATAAGTATGCTTTGGAGTTAAAATGTATAGTTTTGTAATTCCTTGAACTACTAATGCTGTAGAAGCAGAAGTTTCTAAGTTTTAATATGTTCATGTGGCACCCCTCATCTTTAATCTCCTTGGTATGTGTATCTATGTAGCTTCCACCATCTCCTTGTTGGGATAAAGCCCATGAGGAGGGCCCTTCTGTCATGGGAGCCTTCTTTCTGTTTGTGCTAAGCTTGAGCACATAACTTCTGCTGAAGAAATACAGGATATTCTTTAACGGGAAGTAGTACAGATGTTAAAATAAATGCTCTTAGCAGCTTCAGTGAGCCCAAAATAGCTTCTGCATGTTTCTCTTAGAAGTTCAGGAAAGGGGGTGATTCCCTCTTCCTCCCTTTCTGTAATATTTTGAGTGCTGAAATCCTCTTGCCATGCGGAGCAGGCAGTATGGAGCAGGCTTCTCTGCGTTTTTCTGGGCCCTGACTTAACAGGGCCAGAAGTGAGCCCTAAACAGAAATTGCATTCCTTGGCTCAGTGTTCTGCTTCCTACAAAAACTTCCAGTAAGGTCCTTGATGGTAAGGGGGGCTAACCACTGAGGGACTGTGGAGTCTGTTGTTGGAGATGGTCTAAAAATTGGATAAGGTCTGAGCAATCTGCTTGAAGCCAGGTTAGCACTGCTCTGAACTAGATGAGATCCAGCAGTTCCTTCCAGCTGCTGTATGCCATGTTTTTGCATTACGGGGGAAGCATGGCTGCCTTTGTCTGTCCCCAAAACCAGTGGGAATAATTGTAGTCTTAAAATGTCTGAAAAATGGCCATGAGAATTCTGAATCAAGACTTCAAAAATTGAAGTATATAGAAAAGCCTAGCGTAAGGAGGTAATTTTGCCCAAAGTCTCATAGCAGCAGGTCAGTAATAGTGCTGGGAGGGGATCATAAATCTCCTGGCTGGCAGACTCGTGCCTTGGTAGCTAAAAGATTTTTGTCTTCACGCATAAAACTCCTTTCCCTACTCGACTGTTTTCAGATCACTTGGCAACAGAGACTACACTTACCTGCTGAGAGATATCATGTTCCTTTTTTTTTTTTTTTTTTTGCCTTATCTGTCATGGTCATAGAGAGTTCTAGTACTAAAGAAAAAGGTAGTGCATTGACTTTTTCAGCAACATAGAAAATTTGATCTGGAAAAGAATTTGGTGAAATAAAAACAAGAGCTGCAAAGGAAATTTTTAGAAAGTGATGTTATTCCCGGTTAGTTGCATAACAATGAATCTTGTATTTTTTAAGAGCAGAAAATAATAGACAGAGCTGTATAAAAAATCCAAGTTTGATTCTCTCTTTGTTTAAAAAAGAAAAATACTTGAAAACTTCTAAAAATCTGGAAGCTAAGAAGAACCCAGATCAGCAATTTAGAGAGTATCGTGGAAGGAGTTAAGCTGTGAGTTAACTGCATCTGCGTTTCAAATCCAAATGCTATGAACAAGGCACCATTCAGATCTTCAGTTATAAGTTATGCTGAATTCGTTATGCTGCGTTTTTTTGAATTCTGTTCAGAGGAGAAAAAGAAAATCATGTCAGATTAAAAAAATCATTACTCTTGTTTTGGTAGCTTGTTTTTTAAGTGATGAAATAGGATTTTTTTTTTTTTTTTTTGTCTAGCACTTATGCAGGTCATCTGCTAAGTATTAGCAGCTGTGGAACTGTGGAGTTGCGTAAGCATAACTAAAAGTCAGTGGAGCCTTGCATCATTCTTCAGATCTATCCATTGCTTGTTCTCCACAACAACAGATCACTTTTGTAGCTCAGTTGACACAAATCCCTAAATGTTAAGAGGGCATCAGCAAGCATGGCAAGTTGGGAAATCCTTTAAGTCATAGAAATCAGATAGGATAATGCATTATTTTATTGTTGCCACAATCTGCTGTACAGTTAGACATGTGTCTTGGTGTTCTGTGAAGATAGCTGTGTCAGAGTAATACCCTGGAACAGCTGAGCCTGCCAGCTACATAAACCTGATTTGTCTGGGCAGCTTTGCTTGGAAGATGGGTATGGGTGCTATGCCTGTGGAAGCAAGACAAGTGTGAATGCTCACAAATGTATCCCAGATTAGCCATACTTAGTGATATGGCTGAATACAACAGTCTCTTTTAAGCATTAGAAAAGGCATCTTTACATGTGTAGGGCTGAGCGCCTGGAATGTCATGGCAAGGGAGATACCTGCAGTGCACATGTGAGTGTGTTGGCAGCAGCAGCCTGAGGCATGCAGGTCCAGCCTCTGCCCCCAGGTTTATGGTACTGGCTCAGCACATTGCAGGATTTGGTTAGCAGGGTGCTTTTCTTCCCACTGAATCTGAGGTTACAGAGAACTTAATCTCCTGTGGTTCTGACTTTTAAGTCATAGAATGTGTAATGAATTTTCTGATTCAAACTGGCTTTGTTTTCATGGGTTTTTTTCCATCTTTTCTTTTGCTGGTTTAAAGATCTCCACAGGCAAGAAAGACTCTGAAAGGGTGAGTACAGTGTTACCAAAATATGATCCTTACAATACTTGCTTTTGGAAATTAAGAAGATAAAATGAGTTTGAGCAGATACTGTCCCTCTAGACCAGTCCATGTACCTGATGGCTTAGAGCTAAGCCCTGTCCCATCTTTCAAAACTGCAAGAGGAGTTCAGCTGAGCTCCCATGTTTTCCCCAGCCCTTCTATTTTTTCTCTTTTTTCCTTTCCCCCCTTTCCCCTCCTTTTTTTTCCCCTGTCATTTTTAAAGCAGTGATATGAACAATTAAGTGAGGGTGTCTCTGCTGTTTCCTCTGGGAGCAACAGGCAATGTTTCATTAGCTCACCTCAGCAGCAGTTTCTGAAAATGGTGGAACCTTTAGCTGCCCTCAAATTGCCTTGCTTCCTGAGGAAGGCTGTAGGTCCTCGGATGCAGATTGCAGCTGCAGTTCAAGTAGCACTCCAAAGCTGTAAGTGTGACATAAATCAGGAACCTTCATTTTTGACTAGTCTGAGCAGGATGGTAGCTGTTTGTAGGTAGCACCACCTAGGCAGCTGTTGAGCAGAAAGATGCGGAGGACAAGAAGTGTATGGTGGTGAGGAGAGGGGAGGATTGCTTATTCTCCCCCTCCCCTCCTACCTAAGTAAGATCCCTCAGCTCGTAATTAAAGGGTACTATACTTCAATGCTCTTGGTTCAATTTGATTTGCAGTTTGGCAAACATGGACAGCATCAGCCATGTAGTACTGAGCTCTACAATTTACTCCAACTCATCAGTCCTCCCATGACCATCACATTAGTCACTACTCTCCTCATGTCCTGATTACCCAGCACTGACTGACCTGCTTTGCCTAGCATATTCCCCAAGCTGTTTTTCTGACACAGAAATGCAAAATAGAGAATTTTCACTGTTACTTTCACATTTGAAGTTACTGAAGACAGTTTTCAAAGGCAGTATTAAATGTAGACCATAAAGGCTGCTGTATTGTGTATGTTGTAAGTAAAGAAGCCACTTGCTCGCTCTAAGTGAGCTTGCATGACCCTATGTAGTGGTTTCTTTATCTGGATCTCTGTTTGGTCAGATGCTCCTTTGTGTATTTCATATCATCGTATGCCTTGTCTTTGATTTTAAGACCCTCGAGACAGGAAATGCATTTGAGCAGTGCCCTGTAGAATACGTTTTCTATTCCAATGGGATGAAATGAAAAATCAAATGACAGCAATGTGATGATATCCATATGTGATTATTTCAGTTTTAGAGAGAATGCCATTCAACTGAGGCACACAGGCAACACCTACCATTATATCATTGTTTATGTCTGCAGGTTGCATTTTAAACCATTCCATACCATTACTACTTTGACACAGAAAACTATATTCCTTAAAAGTACAGCTTTTCCAGTCAATAGTCCTGATGGTATCTTGGAATCTGAAATTCTCAAATGGCAGGGGCAGGCAGCCCCAAACCTTTATTTTAATACTAGGCAGAAACAAATCACAAATAATTATCACTTAGAACTTCCTACTGTATTTTCAAATAGAAGTTCCTAATTTGATCTTAATAGGTGACTTGGGGAGGGACAATATAAATTGCTTCATGGCACAATTTACTTGAAATGGATTATTCTTAATTGAATTGACCAGTGTCCCTTGGGTATAAATGAACAACTCACATTAATCTCATTTGAAATTTAAACTAAACCAGATAATGCTTTTCAAAGTCAAACATCTTACTCTGAGGAGTTGCTGCATACTTACACTTCCTTGTACCCTTAGGTGGAACTAGAGCAATATTCATTTTCTCATTTATCCTTTTCCAGGCAGCCCTCTGCAGGATCAGTATCTCCAAGTTTTATTATAGCTTTTACTTTTTTTTTTCATTTGTGTGTTCTCAAACAAAGTGTGCGTGCTGACTGGTGTCAAGAGGAAGACAAATTAACTTGAGCTGCTAAAAGGAACTAGAAAATGAAGTGTTCCATAACTGACAAACAGCTTGAGATGACTGGACAAGTTCCCTCTTTATTCATCTAAAATGTGCCAGTTGTTTAGCAGAACATCCTTGATAATGCGAGTGAATTGCAGGGTAAAATCCAGTTGGATGTCATCATGTGCAGTACTTAACTAAGAGAACACAGAGGGATTTTGTGTTTCCAAGGGAAAGAATTGTCATTATTGTCTTTGTTTTGTGTTACTTGGAGTTCCCCAAGAAGGTTTCCTCTTAGGAGGAATAATGGAGTTGATAGTAAGAATGGTTTATGACTGCTCTTTTTTTTTATTTGAAAGCTTTTGTACTTGTCAAAAAATGTTTGTTCCCCATCCGCTCGCTAATTGGCCAGACTGAGGAGACACTAAAGAAACCATAGTAATTATACCACATGATACCTAATACCACAGCATTTACAGCTTCCAAGGCCTTTGCTTCAGGCCATCCACTGTGAGATATGGACAGAAGCAAATGAGAATATAATGGAAAAACTTGCAAGAAGGGAAAGTAAAAAAACTCCCAAACAACCCAAAATTGTATTTTCATTTTTTTTCCCTTTAGATAGAAATAAAGAAGTGTCCCGCTGCCATTTCTTAATGAGGCAAGGCTTTATGCCCTAGGAAGTGAGAACAAAGACACACAAAAAAATCACTCTGAACTAGCAGAAGGGTTGATAGGTGTAACCTGGGTCTAGTCCTTCCTACCCTTGATGTGTGGTTGCTGTGAAGAGCAGTGCTGAGATGACACCAGTGGAGCAGGATTGCTCCAGATAAGGTCAGGAGTGTATTTTCCAGGACTGTCCTCCGAGCTGTTTTCTCTTGGGCTTCTGGAGTTGCTCCCTCTCTTGTCTGGAAGACACTGATGGTTATTTTTGGAAATCACCATTCTGAAGGTAGGATGACTCTTTCTTCTGCTCTAAAGCCCTTAAGGTCTTTGCTTTAAAGTTTTGGAGGGTCACTGTTACATGATTGTGGTGGGGAGGAAAAAACCCAGATTATCTGTAGGCTTGTTGGGCGCATAAACCTGCATTATGTCAAGTGACATCGTCAAATATTGCAGTTTAAGTTTCTGTATTAAGTCTGGCATGTGCAGGTTCTGGTTTCTTCATTTCTTAATGGAGCATGTGACCCCTGGTATCTTTGTCATTTCCTCTAAAATGCATTGGATCAGGATTTCAGACCCTGCCACTAGGGAATAATGTCTGGTATAGGACAAGTGTAAAAGAAGTTTTAAATAGTTCTTAAAGGTATAATTATGGAAATAGCCTTTGGGTCAGCTAAGGGTCTTCAAAATCCAAATTTCGCAAAGTGCTGGATTTGGCATTTGAGGTTGTCCTCAAATTGAATAGTCCTTGTCCCATTTACCAGCAAAAAGCTCGAAGTTAAATATGTCACAAAGTTCACTTAAATCCAGATTAGTAACGTCATGAAACATCAAGTAGGTATATACAGCCTGCCTCACAGCTGGTGCAGCCGAGCCCCTGCTGGCAGCATGTAGTGGCAGGGAACAGGTGAAGAAACACCTTTAGACTCCCACAGTGCATAGGGATGCTTTGAGGCATTGTGAGAGAGAGCCAGGAGTTATCAGCTCACAATTCATCCGCCATAAGGAACTGTGCTGGCTCTGCTGGGACTTGGCCCACAGACCAACTGGAACCATTGGGCCCTACCAAAATGCCCGTGACTAATCTTTCCTACCTGAAGGGACCCGTGCTGTAGTGTCCTACTTAGTCTGGGGCAGCTCTCAGTTTTCAGGCCAAGCAGAAGGGTTTTTAGCAGGTCTGCTGCTTTTCTCTGTGTTGTTCTCTTGGGTCACTGCTCTGGTACAGCTTCTCAGGAAAGCAAGCCAGCTTTGTTGAATAGTCTAGATATTGGACTGTAAGGCATTTCTGCTCTTTTAGCAGCAATCTTTCAGACAGCCATGCTTCCAACTACACATTCTGGGATTTCTATTGAACATAGGTAATGCCCTTGGCGCCATAAGCCATAAACTTAGCCACTTTAAACTGTAAATTAAATTTTTCAGTTCTCTACTGTATGTTTGGCCTTTTGCTAGTGAGAGAGGAAAGAAGAAACAAAACACATGTAGAGGGGGATACAGACATGCTTGCATGTTCGGTTATAGCTGTGTCTTGAACCTCTGCTAAGGAGGGAGACCAGGTACCAAGCTGTTTTGAGCAGGTTATCATACTACTGCATCTGCTTCCAAGCTCAACATTCACCTTTGGGCTGTCCTGACTGTCAGTTCCCAAGTGTGTTACAGGAATTTGCATCAGAAGTCCAGCTCCTTTTATTTGTCTGGCTGTGGGAACAATGGAATATTCACGTACCCTTTTGAGGCAGAGGTGCAGGTGTGTCCTGTGAGTGCAGTCTCCTGATAACTGACTCAGTTTCAGCAGCTGATGGAACTAGGTTTTGATGAATGGCAATATAGGGTGTTTTATTTCCAAATCAGCAGTTTATTCTCTAAGCCAGGTGAGCCATGACTAAACATTGCTTTCTGTCAGATTAGGCATAGTCTATGTGCAATGAGTTGGTAACCTCAGGTCTGCAAGACAAAAGTTCTGCTGAAAATGGCATTGCATGACTTCCATGCTGAAAGCCATTGTGAAGTAGATCGTCAGCAAGGATTGAGGCTGTTCCCTGATGGCTGATGAGTGATCCTTTTGGACCAGGGCCAGCAGTGGGCATAGTGGTGTGAAGCAGTCTCACTTGGATGCGTCCCATGTAGCTGCCCGTCACATGTAGGTGAGATTGTAGGATTTCACAACAGGGCTGAGTTTTCTTCACTGTCTAAGGAAACAGAAAACGTTAATATCAAAGGCTGTTATCTGGATGGTTTTTATGGACTCTGCAATTCTCTGTCACTCTTTTAACTACTGCTCACTGAAATCACAGTGGCAAAATCTCCTAATTCAGTAATTGCCCAAATAATTAAATGATAATGTGATATGCAGTGTATATATGTATTCATATACTGAGCCTCCCTTTCTCCTGGTTGTTATGATTGTCAATAAATATCAACAAAACAAAAAGATGTGATTGGATCTTGTACATGATCTGATCTTGCTCACCTTACCTGGATATAGTTCAAATCAGTATGGGATTGCTGACACTTGTAGCTAAGCAAAGAACAAATCTCATCTGTTATACAGAAGAGAAGCTGATTCTATTTTGTAATTACCCAGCAACTATGCATAGACTCCCATTTGTGGCTATATTTGACATCCAGTTATTCCTGATGTGGAATATACCACCCATGGGAAGAATGCAAGAAATGGACTAGAGTTCCCAAAGATTGGGACTTGCTTTCCCTTTAAAAAATAATTTAAGAGGGTGTGAGCTTTTGCTAGGAGATTGAGAATGTAAAGGGGAAATAAACTAAGCATCAGTAACAGCTTGATATTGTCTGACCTATGTCAGATGAAAAATTGCTCTTATCAATGAATATTGTTTGTGTGGCTTTAAAATGTGTGATGTTCTGGTAGATCGTGATTTCTGAAGTGTAGATTTGTCTAGCTTTATTTGCATGTACATATGTACCCGTGTGTATATATATGTGCACAAGTGTGGATAGAAAGTTTGAATATAAAATATTACTCAGATTCAAGTGTGACCGTTTAAAACTGGTTGATGTTTTCTACTGAAATAACCAAATATATAAAGATTTGTCATCAAATATTCAGTTGAATACTTTGAAAACTTTGACTCGTGTGACTAGCTGAAGATCATTGATATCTTTTAACTTTGCCATCATATCAATGCTTATATATTGAGAAAAGGTACTTGAAGCCTAGGCATGCCATTGGAAAAGTATAGCAAACACTGCTGTAGAAAAACAGCTAGGCAGATCTTACTGATAAAGAGTGTTGAAAATATCCTTTGGAAAGATAGCAAGGATAGTTTCTCTCTTGGTTGACCTGCTGAGTGAGTCCATGTTCTTTGATAGAGTCAAAGAGCTTGTGTCCCAAGCTTACTGTATGAAAAAAGCTACAAGAAATGAGGTTTTATGTGAAAATAAGTATTGGAAGCCACAACCAGCACTCTTATTACTTTTATTAAAACTTCCTTTTTGGTTCCTGAGAACATACTAAGGCTAATAAAAATACTTGCAATGATAGGAAGGGACTTCCACACAAATAGAGTTTTTATTTTAGAAATAAATCTAATTACATACATATGTATAAATAATACATATGCACTGCAGAACTCTTCTTCAGGAGTCTGTTAATGTCTGTGTTAAAGGAGCAGGGAGGAAAAGTAACTTTGAGAGCAAGGTTTTCAGTTCAGCAGTTTTTCCTCAAGTCAAAAGCTTCATAGGCGTTTCCAGGCAAAAGTACATTTTCTTAGGAATGACTTTTATTTATGTGGCTGTCCTCTGAAAGGATAGCATGTGGCTAAACCCAGGGGTGACAGCTGAAAATGTAATCTCATATGCACATAGCTGTGTAAAGGGCTTTGGCCCAGAATTTGTTGAGTTTGGGATGGGGGGTTCACTATTTTCAGACAGGACTGGAATAGAGTAAAAACTCTTTCATTTTCCACATAGACATGACTTGAGAGTGGCAATGTGCCAGAACATTTTCGATCATCAGATTTTTGTTCACATCCTGGATAAGGGACAAAATAGATTCCCTGCTTTATCTGGTATGATTCTCCCCACCCCCAAGCAATGTGTTAATATTTCAGCATTTTGAAAAAATATAGTGGGCAACGTTAAATATTTACATCTCTCTGAAGTCACACAGATGCCACAGGACACCTAGCTCTACATCACACATGCTCTAATTCACCCCAAACACCCACTGTTTACTAATCTGCAGCCCCCGTCTGTGCCGATAATGAGAAAGAGGAAATGGAAACAGCAGGGATTATATGCTACTGAGAAGTCCCAGTTTCTGGTTGTAATTCTTTCAACAAACTCTTGCTGATGTGCTCTTGCTTTGAAGTTTGAACACCTCTGTATTAATGCTTGGCTCTGGTGATTTGGCTGACAGCTCTGAGCTTGGTTGGTTTATTTGTGGTTGTGCCTTTATGTTTCCATATGATGGTTTTATTCTTGCACTCACCTGTGTTGTGCCTGCTCAAAGTTGGGGCAGTACAGATTGTTTTGCCTGAGCACAGAGATGTTAATTGCTCAAATTTTCTGGTGACAGGCTCCAGATAGAAAACAGTCCCCAGCATATCCTCTGTTCTGTCTGTGTGTATCTCATAGCCATATTGGTGAATGGGGTGAGTTTCCATATAGTGAATAAATAGGCCCCATTTTCATAAGGCAAAAAGTATGTGTTGATTTTGAATGCTGGGTTTCAGCATACTGTTAGTCTGGAGCATCATGTCCACTATACGCAGATGTGTGGATAGTGCAAATTTCTAACCTAAACCAAAAATCCCAGAGCCCATGATTGCGTTCTTATCCCCATAACACAGGACAAGCAAATACTTCGTGTAAATAGCTTTACATCAGTGTCTATTAACATCCTTCTGTAGCTTCTCTGTCTGGCCACTGTGCAATTGTTACATGTTTTTTCTGGTGGGGTGGTCCTTTATTAGTATATCAAACACTGATCTCATGGCATGTGAGGGGAAGTCAATTTATGGCTTTAAAAACAACTTGTGCCATCTGCAGGATTACTAACACCTCTCCATTAAGTACTCAGGTGTACATAAAGGAGAGCTTCAGGTATGCTTTCTGCTCAGAAGCTAAAGAGATGGTTTTATCTTGTGTGTGTATATATAGGTAAGGTGAAGCATAGCATTAGCTGCAAGTGTTTGGCTTCCACAAGATGACTGCCAAAAACCTGTTGGAGTTTTGCTCCTCTGAAAGATGCCAGCTAACAGATACCCCGTCTGTGATAAAGGATGGAGAAATAAATGGTTTGTTTGCAGGGGATGGAATTTATCAGGCTTCAGACATTTCCCTTCTTGTGGCAGTGGTCCCCAGTCGGAGCTGACAAGTGCTGTGGTGTCGGTGGTGACTCAGCAAACCCCGCTGTGCGAGAGCTCTGTGGACACGGTGGGTCCCCGGTGTCACACAGCTGCCTTTGCTGTCCCTGCAGTGCCTCTCCCTGGCCCCACTGCAGGGCATGCAGCACTCTGAGCTTGGCTGGAACAGCGCCCTGGGAGGCTGTTTGCTTTGGGTGTGGATTAAAAGTGGCTCGGAGGATGCTGCGAGTTACCTGCTGGGTGAGCAAATTCCTCCCATCTTGAACCACCCCGAATGTCTGGGGGATGTAAAAGTATATTTGCCCCACCAGCAACTCCAAGCACGGCTCTGGCACAGTCCATTATGTGTGACTAGATCCTCACAGAGAGGTTGACACATTACAAGTGACTTTGTAAACATAGTCCCCTCTTAAAATGGAGAGAAATAACCCATGTCTTGTGAGGGATCCAGGCTGTCTGAAAGCTCCTGGGGGAGCAGCTGGGTGAGGACAAAGAGGCAGTGTGCTGAGAGCAAGCGTGGCCACTTCCTGAACTCTTCAACTTCCCCTCAGCGCCTCTGGAGCTCGGGGTCCAGCATATCATGTCTCTGCACGCTTACCGAGGGGAAAATACTTAAGCTGCATGAGCCTCACAGTGCTCTCAAGTGTCTTCCAGTGTAAATAATACCTTGGCCATTTGGCCCAAAACCTTCCATGGGGGCAGAGCAGGTGCATCTGCAGACATGTGTTTGCACATGCTTTCCTACTACAGCTGCAGGAGCTCAGAGATGCATGCACAAGAAGGGTGTGTGTGTGAGTCTCATGCAAAAGCATCTATTTTATGGCTAATTTGTTGGGAGTTTTTCAGTCATGTACATATTTCCTTTTGCATGGGTGTCCTATGCATGTTTACACGTAAAATATTTCCATCTTTTATTAGCTGGGGATAATTTGTTTAACACTTAGCTGCTAGTCTGCAAATCCTGTTGTTGCTATCTCATTGCCAGAGGTCACTGCTCTCACATCTCTGTGGATAGGAGGATTCTCAAAACCATTGTTACTCCATTTCCAATTACTTTAACCCACTGATACAAATTACTGGAACTAGTTTGGCTCATTTGATAGTAATGAACTAGTGAGCGGTGGTAAGAAGCCCTGAGGCAGCAGATGGGAATGTAGTCCCTGGCTGGTGGTCACCAGGAGGCTGCTCACAACATTGATGTCTTCATCTGGCACAGTTTAATTATAAAAATGACATTTCAGTGGAAACCTCTTAATTTATGTAGAAATTGCATACAATTCATCTACCCATGGGCAAAGAAGCAGCTCAGATTGGCTTGTTCTGGGTATCTCCCTGTAGCCATGGTTTTGTGTGACAGCCTGGGTAGTGGCAGAGCCAGCTTCCTACTAGCACTTGCTGGTTTTGCCTGAAAATGAGAAAGGGGGCGGGGGGAAGCTAATGAGCTTTTGACCACTATATCAGCTCCTGAGTGTGGTCCATGGCACAGACTATGAAAAACACACTTGTGGCAGTTGTGGGGTGCAGTGGGAGAACTGAATGGTGGAGGCAGGACAGCCACGAATAGGTATTGCTGCCAAAATATTTGCATCTCAAATTTGCAGCATCACTGTCTGTTCACTCTCTTCCTACCTTCAAGATTTTCTCATTCATGCTTAGGTACAGCTAAAGCAAATCTGTATCCCAGCAGAGATCTTTGCAGTCAGTCTGTAAGGGAACCCCTCTGGGTTTGTAACCCACGGCTTTCACACAGGCCTTGCCCGGGTGATCAGTCCCCCAGGCATTGTCTATTGTTCAGTTCTCACTAAATAAAGGAATGTGTCATTTATCTTTGCTCCCTCCATTAGCTTGATTGATGAGTGTTTAGTGTTTTCCACAAGGAGCATCTTCCAGCAGAGCAGTATCTCCTTGCTGACTCTGGTGTGATCATTCTGCCTCTACTGTGACATGGTAGTCTTCAAACTTTATTTCCAGCCTGTGCCAGTATTCTGCTGGTGGTGCATTTAGGGTTAAATTGGCATTCCAAAGTTAATGTGTCTTTAAAAAAATAAATTTTGATAAAGCACCACCTATTGACTAGTCCTGTAAACATAGTACTCTAATCCAGGACTTTACTGTCCTTCCTTTTGTGACATATGTTCAGACCTGTTTGCCCAGTGCTAGATAACAAATTGCACATTGCTATAACTGAGAAAATCTCTACTCTTCCGAAGACATAAACTGCTTAAGACTCAAACTTCTGTTTACTGTATTCAAATGGAAGTATTTCTGTAAATTGCTGATGACTGCATCTGTTCAAATTCATCAATTCACTACCACTCTGAACATTTGACAAACAAATACCCTTGAACTGAAATTTCCCACGCCTGCAGTGCAATTATGTTCTCCACTACTGCATTTGTTTCCCCTTTAAAAGAAGGGGGGAGGGGCTCTGAGCGCACTGTGGCAGAATCACATTCAGCATTTGGTATTAATATATAGTACAAAAAGGTCCATTGAATCATGGAGCGACTCAGAAGGCAGTAGAGGAGGGCTTTCTGGCTATGCAGAAATGTCAGTGGTTCAACATTAGATGAGAAATTTCTTTAACACGTTGTGAGGGACAGTTAGTTGTTTCATCTGATGTTAAAACGCAAGCAAAGCGAGTCTAGCAAGGTGCGGTGGGGAAGTGTGTGTCACATGCTCCTCTACAGGAAACGAGACTGGAGCTGCTGGGGAAGTTCAGAACTGGGTGACCTCCAACGGATTCAAATAGCACAGGTTAGTTCTCTTAAAACATCTCTTTAGCTGTCCTGCAGAGGTTCTGCACGTGTATTTTCACTGATTTTTGGCAGCAGTGGATGAGGAGTGGTCTGTAAGGTAGTTGTGGTATTGAATAGCAAGCAGTGTGGGACTTCAGAGCAGAACTCTACAGGGCAAAAATAGGAAGCTCAGTAGGGTTGGCTTGGTTTGTGTGAAGCTTGGAGCCTGCCTTGCAGTACAAGTGTGAATGTAAACTTCTCCGTCTTGTTAAGACTTTCATAAAATAAGTTAAAGGTCTGGATTTTTAATAGATGTGTTCAGTAGAGGTTAAAATCATTGACTGTAGTGAAAACTTCATTAAGTTTGTTTTGGCTGTACCAAGTATGTAGCTCTTCCCTTTGATTTTACTGGTGTAGTTTCTTGTTAAGGTGTTCTCTCATTCCTGGTGATTTCTGTTGAGAAATTGCATCACGCTTTTCTGTGCTGGAGGGTTTTGTCTTGGGAGCACTTTGCATCAGGAGTGAAATGAAGCTAGATTGGTGCTGGAGAATTTGGGAGCTGTCAAAGGGAGACTCTTTAACAGGATGTATATTTTGTATCCAGCAGAAAGATAGATTTGTTAATTTTAAGTTACTAGGCAATTGTGATTAATTATAAATCTTAAATGCCAAGTTGGAGTGAAAGTTACAAAGGAAACAGCCTTCAGGATGATAAAATGTTTAATACAGTATTAAGTGCACAGGAACTGAACTAAAACTAAATCCCAGCATGGGGTGCACATGGTGCTGGGAGAGCGTGGGGAAGAGGAGGTGATGGCCCCACAGCCACCTCCAGCAATGGTGGCTGCTCGCTTTGCCCAGAGAACCCCCCTGCTTGTCCAGGGTCACAGCTTGTGAGGCAGAGGGGCTTGGACAGGGGTGGTGGCAGCAATCTCACACTAAATGCAGCTGCTGGGGATGACAGTGCTGTAACAAGGCCGTGCCAGGCATTAAAATCAGAGATTTGAGCATCAGGCAAGAAGTCCTAAAGCTGCCTGTACATCTTACCAAATATTTTTTAAAATATTTCCCTGGCCGTGTAGAAATCCATGTAGACTAAGTTGCACGGCTCTTTCACCCTCCTCGTGCCATGTAGTGCATACATCCTGATGTCAGCATAGAAAGGTCTGGGTAAGATGAACGTGGTGGCTCATGGAGGACGAGGCTGCTGCTGCCTCCTGCACGTGGGGTTGGATGCTGCTCCTGGCCCTGCTTCAGGGCATGGAGGGTCTCGGCAAGCTGGGAACAGCAGGGCCCTGTTCCTGGGCAGTTAAACAGCTCTGTGGCTCAGCCTTGCAGAGCTTTGCTCTCATATTTCCAGCTTTGGGGCTTTATATGCAGAGAAGGCTTTGGCCTGAGCTGGGCTCCTCTGCTTCTGGAAAACCAGCAAGTTTTCAGAGAGCCAAAGTTCTGCCCCAAATCAGCCCTTCTGATGTATTAGGGTTTATAGCCTTCACTGGAGCACTGTTTAACTAGGAATGTGATTTAAAAGCAATTTAGTAAAATCCCACTGCAGACATTTTCATTTCAGCCTAATCCTGTCTTATAGCGGCTCATCTCAAATAGATTAGGAGTTGTTTTAAGCTAAATATAGTGGCTCGTAAATAATATAGTTGAGTCTCCATGCAGTGACTTGTGCCAGGTATTTGAAATGGAATTAAAAAATAAACTGATACACGTTCCTAAATAAATAAACCCTAACACTTCTACTCTGCTACCAGAAGTGAACATAGGCAAGCAGGATTGAAAGAACAGGAGAGTTGTTGAAGAGGGGGGATTTCTGAATGGGCCCTTTCCAGCAGCTTGTATTATGAAAACCAGGGAAAGAATGTTTCTTCCTCTAACAAATTAAAAAGGAAATCTGCAAAAAGAGGGAAGGGAATAAAGAGTACAGACTAAACAAATGAATTAAATATGCATTGGAATGAGAGAGAAGGAAACCAAAAGAAGAAAATAATAAAAAATGGAACCAGATGGGGACAAATTCTGTGCTAAGGAAAAAATGCTGTTCTTTTGCTGCACTTCAGAAGGAGGAGAGACTGTGTGCATGTGTTTGTGTATGTATCATCTATGGAAGAAAAATTCATTTTGCTGTATGCTTCTTTAAATTGTTTGCTTGTTTCTTTCCCTTCAGCGGTGCTAATATAGAAGTTTATTGATTTGAGGGAGCTTAAAAGTTAGATGAAAGCATCATTAAACAATCTTCAATTCTGCAAATAAATAAAATAAACCACTCAATGTCAACTTAATCACTGTCTAGTTTTACTCCCCAGAAATGGCTGCATTGCATTGTTGAACTTGTGTCCACCGTGCATTTGGGCCCATAGCACAGGGTTATTCTACTCTCTGGCACGGAAAACGTAGGAGTTAAGATGTGCAACACCAGCTAATGCAAACTGGAACTGCATAGGCCAACTTCAGACGGGTTATAGCAGAATCCCCTTGTGGGCTTTGTTTCACCACATAGTGTGTGCAAAGGTTGTGTGGCTGTGAGGGACTGGGGTCTTGAGACTGATTCTAAATAGAAGTAAAACTGTAAAATGCTGAATGGCTACTGTTCTTACATTTTAATTTAAAATACTGGATTTTTAAAGATTTTATTTTGTTAGTTCTAATACAAAATATATCAAATGGTCAAGTGTATTTTGGGACATTATTTGCAGCACATCTGTCACATCTTCTAAGCTGTTGCCTCTCCTCTTCCCCCCTCCAATTTGTTGCAGCTTTTGCATGTATGTTTTTTCCCTAGCCTCAACTACAGAAACCTCCTAATTACAAAACTAGTTGTTGGACCATGTCTCTTATGAGGAGCAGCTGTTGTAGTGGATAACTCTGTTCAGTCTTACCATCACATCCATGGCTTTCTATGCTTTTCTGTTTTCCTTCCACCGTTTATATTGGCTTTTACTATGTATGCTATGCTGAAGTTGGAAGAATTGTCTTAAATTTGTTTGAGAGCAAACTGGATCCTTTGACCTCAGGGAGCAATATGGAGAACCCAGCTAGTGTGTTTTCCTGTTGTGATTCCTCTTTAGAAGGAGGAGGCCTCTTCTTTACAGTACTCTTCCACTTTCTCGTGCAGGATTTCTGTTTATGCAAGGAAATACATAATGGACACGTGCTCAGGTTCTGTGATCCCCAACAGTTCATAATTAATAGTTCTTTTTTTTTTTCCTTTCTATCTTGCAGGATTGTGCAACCTGGGAAATGTTATTGCAATTTAATTAACTTCAGAAAGTGTATTCTGGACTGAGTTGACCAGACCTCCTATTCTATGCAAGCATCTCCTGCTGGTGACCAGGTACAGAGCCTGTGGGGTTTGCAGGGAGGGGTGGCAGTGGGTGGCAGTCATAGGGTGAGCAGCAGCATAGCAAGTGTCTTGCTGTGTGTCATTCCTGACCTGTAAGAGCTGGAAGCCACAGAGCCATCTCATGTCTTAGACTGCAGTGGGACAATACAGGAGTCATTCTTCTCCAGGGCAGGATTAATGGCAGTGCCAATTTACAGGCATGCTCTCATGTGCCACACCTTTCCTAATGCCAGATTTAGGTGCCTTAGGTAGCATCAGATTTTATGCCAAATCCATAAGCTTTTAACGTGTGCAGTGAGTTATTTTCTGTTTGGCTTTTTTTTTTTTTTTTTCCCATTCCAGTAGTACAAGGCTGACAGTGAAGGGATTTAAGGCTTGGAAAGTAGGTTAGGAGACCTGAGGTATGATATGACCGGGCACAATGAATCTGTAGTTGTCCTGACTTAAAGGAGATGACATTACACTTGAAAACTGCACAATGAAGCCTGCAGTGTTTACAGTTTGGTGCTAATGAACAGGTATAGTATGAAAAGGTTCACTGAAACACATGGTTAGTAAGAAAGAACAGTGAGTTTACTTTTTTAAAATTTTAGTTTAATTCTTTTTAAATTTAATTTTTGGTTTCATTTTTTTCTCATTGCAGCAGAGGCTCCATCAGAAAGCATGTACTGTAGATAGGCTGCAGTGTACTGCTCTAGAGCTGGTGCAGTCCAGCAGATCAAGTATTTCCTATCTCAAATGCTCTGTGTTGTGAACTCCAACTGTGGCCTCCTTATGGTTAGTGGCCCATGCAGAAACTGATGCTGGGAGGGTCCCAGAATTGGTTGGGATTTTGGTTCTCTGTAGACATGAGCACCAAACCATTCAGGGTTTCTTCTAGATTAAGTCTATAGCTGGTCCATGTGGGTTGATGCTTTGGTGTAGTTTCAGCAGTGCACTTGCTTTGGAAACCACAGTCTGGAGAAATCTGAGTGCTAGGCTTGGGAGATATGAGAGGGAAGAGCTGGTCCCAGAAACAGACAAATGTCCCACTTCATTTGTGGATCCACAGCCTTATCAGGCATGATGGACTGCTGCTGGATGAGGGTTGGTGCAAAGACTATTATTTGGAGGATTATTCCATAGGACAAAAGAAGATGGTACTACTGTGTGGTCAGTAGTCAAACACACCTGTTTGGGTAGGAAGGGATGGCCTATTTGAAGAAGGGAGACATGCAGATCAGGAAAATATGAGTATTTATAAACTTACAATGCAATACTGAGATAAAGATGGTGCATTGTGTCACTCTCACCCATTTCACATGATACAGGATTATGGAGGGTCCCAGGAACAGCAGTAATGATGACAGCACAAATACGACCTGTGAGGAAAGACTGGAGGAAATATGGTTGCTTAGCCTGAAGAGGAGAAGTTCAAAGAGACATGTAACCAGTTTTCAAATAACTATGAAGAGGAAAGGAATAAATTCTTTTATGCACCACTTGCAAATAGTATGAAAAATAACAAATGAAATCACAGTAAACGGAGGTCTAAATAAAGTACTGGGAAAAATTTCATTAGCTGTTAGGATAGCAAGATAGATATGTCAGGGATATTGCAGATTTTCCATCAGTGGAGATTTTTAGGGAAAAAAGTGATGAATACTGCCAGGAATGATATAATCCATGGTGACTCAGGGGAAGGAAGGGTAGATGCCCTCTTCCAGCCCTGCTGTCTGTTATTCAGTATTTCAGTCTCCTTGTTGATAGTGACTTTGAATTTTTCTGGTTATTGATGAGAGCTGAATAGTTATTTTAAAGGCAATTTAAATAATATAAATTTTAATAATTTTAAATGAATAATTTTAATAATTTTAAAGGAGTATATGTCATACTCCACTTTTTAGGGAGGGAGCAGAAAATGCTGTTTCTGAGTCTTCTGAGATGATCTTTCTCTTGGTAGTAAACAGATAAAATGAGTGCATTATACTCTGCACTGTGGGAAAGTATTGAGTTATTGTTAGCAGCTGGTAGGGTAAGGACCAGGTCTGCTCCTGGTGTAAGGGGAGGGAATTGAAAAGGCAGGCCCTGCTGCTTTCTCTGGTGAACAGTTGTGGGAATCCAGAAAACTGCTCATTTGTATCACAGATCTCAGAAGTCTGGTACCAAGGGCAAACTCTGAATTCATGCTGGCTGCACAAAGCAGCTTGGTGTGTGTTGAACAGCATTCCCTAATAGCAAGTTTGGATGGATCAAGGCTCACCTGAAGAAGCGTTTGGCTGCAGAGTTGAGGCTTTGTTCACACAGCAGCCCTGGTGCTGCTGTATCCTCTCTGTGTAGAAGCAGGGCTTTTTCTCTGTGTGGTGGTACCAGCCTGGACTGGCACTCCCTGTGACCCAGCCTCCTGTGAGCCTGCCTGCTCACAGGGGCCTTGGCAGATGTGGAAGAAAACAATGATCCCTGCACCATCATTTTTAGAGTACTGCCAGTCATCAGGGCTGCAGTTTAAAAGAGAAAGTAAACTTCATGAGAGTAATAATGTCTTATGTCCTGATAAAACCAATACAAAGCTTTCTTTCAGCTGTAAGTTTGATCCAGAAACTACATCTCTCTGAGTTTAGAAAAAATTTGCTTTTCGTCTGGAAACTTGTGGCCTCAGATTTGATGTGGCTCTTAACTCTCCATCTAATTACAAATTCTGGTTTTGAAAGCAAAGATGTTAGGAGTTATAGGTCAGTCTGCCACATGTTGAATTTAGCCTTCAAATTTACTTAAAATCAAGTTTGGTTTTACCCCTGCAAGCTAACAAAATCATTCAGCCAGTTTGATCGGGGCTTTGGCCATATCTACAGGATTCAGCAGATGTGATGCTAACTTTAGGGTTCAACAACTGTGACAGCCACTCTCATTACAAATAAGTTTAAGGGGAAATGGGTTGCCACCCTCTGATGCCTGCTGTTTCAGGGCACCTGCACTGAGCACTACATCGTGCAGGGACCAGTTTGTTTTCTCTTCTGAATTGCTGGTACACTGGTAATAGCAAGGACAAATTACAGCAGTTCAGTGGATTTATTGAATGTTCTAAAGAGGAAATGCAAGTGCTGAATGATAGTATGTGGCTGCTTTGGGTTTTGTGGGTATGTTTTCATGGCAGTGGTATGTCATACATACCTTTTTTTAGCTTGAACTACACTAAATTACTACTTCCATGCAATAAACCTGCATTTGGAATACCAGCAGGAGCTCAGCTAGACCTGCTATCTTGAATGGAGGCCAGTAACCTCCAAACCCGGCTGTTCCCTGGGTCCCAGTGAGTTCCTGTGCCACCTGTGTGGCAGGCTGCCTCAGAGCTGCCAGCTTACAGGGAGGTACCATGCTGGCTGGGCACCACTTCCAAAGCATTAGCAAGAGCCAGGAGCCACTGCTGATGCAGCTGGATGAGGCACCTTGTCTCTCCTCAGGCAATGGCTTGTGGCTTCTGCTGAGTTCAGGCAAGTTGTGGATTTGTCCGTCTTGGCATATTCACCTTCCTGGCACATCTGACCTATGCAGTCAGTAGATGTGGCCTCACAGGGGCTGTCACTGCAGTGGCCTGAGCCCCCTGGTAAACCCATGCCCTCCAGGGCAGGCACCCACATGGCACACTGCCTTTGGTTTCCACACTTGCTGTGTGGAAACATTTCCTTGTTGAAGGTCATAGAAAACACTTAGAGATATAAATAATTAAATTAAAATGAAGATAAATTAATTGAACCTCTTGATTTTTACTCACCATGACTTAGCAAACACTCTTTTAACACATGCTTCATAAGTATTAAGTGCAGGGGTGCTGTATGTTTCCAGCCCAGGTAGCTGCAGTAGGCAATGCAGCTGTGCTGTTTTCCCTCTCAGGAAGGCAGTCCAGGACATGCCTCCTTCTTTGTGTATGGGGAGATCGACTGGTTTGTGTCCTGAGCTGTGAAAGACTTTGCCCTGACTATTTTTTTGGCAGAATTCATTAATAATCATTTTTTCCAGCTTCTCCTCTTTGCTTACTAGCTAAGTATTTGCCATGTGCAGCTGTAAAAAGTTGTTTCCAAAGAGAAATAAACTGGAGCAAAAAATTCTGTAATTGGAGATGGGGAGGAAAGCTGAAGGGCGTTTTCAGTTTGTTGTCCTTGGATGCTTTTTGTTTGCTTTGTGCCAGGCTTTAAACTAGAGCCTTTTACAGGACTGTGCCCTCTTGCTTGTCTGCACCTGTGTCCTCCTAGTCCTAGCTGCACCAATTTGCCTGTGTCCCTCACAGGACCAGGGGATAATCAGGGCAGTCAGCATCAGTCAGAGAGCCCTGTGCTACATCAGCAGTGCCATGTCAGTACACTTACTATACACTTATTTCTATCTTGAGATAGAAATCTCTTCAAGTCTTAAACTTTGACAAAACATAAAAATAGTTTCTCCTCTCTCTTTTTTTTTTTTTTTTTTAACCCAAACCCCAGATTATTAAACACAAACAAATTCTAGTGCCTCTCGAGGTAGATCAGGGAATTTAAATTCCTGCATTGTCTTTCATGTAACATTAGAACTGCTTTGAGTTTGGAAGAACCATAGACTGATGAAAAACAGAACTGGTACCTTGCCATCTATTAGATAATTGCCAAAACAAGAAGAGAAGCCTATTTCATAAATGAAATCTTCAGAAGCTGTCTTTACTTATGGGGCTTCCAACTGAACGATGCAACCTTGGATTAGTCATAGACAACTTAACTATGTGCCCTTACTGTAGGTGTTTAAATTGACATCACCTGCTGCAGATGTGTGCTGTGTACTTGAATGCATATGTGCAAATTTCATGGTCTCAATATCATGGAGTATTCAGCTGAAGGCCCGGGTGTATAATCTGAAACCTCCAACTCAATGTTATCTCACCTATATTTCATAAATGTATGTGCTGCATAAATATCAAGTCCTGCTGCAAAAGCAGATGAAAGGATTTATGTAAAAATGGCTTTAAAAATCTGTTGTGAGTAAAA